TGAAAACTCATGTGTAAGCTTAATTTAAAACATGTTTTTGAAGGAAAAAGGTTGATTATATTCTAGTAGATGGATTGATCTGTGAAAACTATAATTGAAAACCAGCTGGAGAGAGGTACATTTGTAGGTGCTATGAAAGACATTAAAAAGTTTAAGAAAAATCTCATGCCCTCCAGCTGCTCATTTGACAGATGATAGAGATAATGCATACATGTACAAGTGTGTGTTTGTGTGTGTGCTGAAAATTTAGATGACAGGACAAGAAATGGCATGGTAGGTACGAAGTGGTAAACATAGACAATACATTCTGGAGTTATTTCCCAGTGATTATCAAAGTTACTTTCATGAAAGAGACACGATTTGAACTTAGGTAGTAGTACAGAGTCAGAATATACTTGGCAAAAAGAGCTATGAACAAGTTCCTAAAAATGGGGAAAAAATCACAAAGTACTCCGCTAGAGTAGAAACAAAAGATTGAGCTGCTAATAAAGGTTGGCACTGAGATTATGAAGGACCTTGAAGGAAAAGATAATTTAAGAAATTTAACTTTCAGAAGACTCAATTTATCATTTCAATTTTTATGTAAACTAAACATATCTAAAATTTGTTTTTGAGTGTGTGATAAACTGTCTTTTCTGTTTGGGGTCATTTTCTTATTAAAGTCCATCTATTCTGTGAGTTGTATTTATCATCAAAGAGAATAAATACCCCAACAGCAAATTTTTGAGCCTGTCATAGATATTCTTTTCCTTCAGTTTCGGTGAAATAGCTGGCAACGTTTTATTGATATTATTTCTTTTGCTTTAGGTTGGAAGTTCATTGTCCAGTTGAAAAACACCAACTCAGCTAGTTTCTTTGGTCTGCATTACAGTCTTTTACCTGTCTTTTTATGAAAAGAGCAAGTTCTAGGAAAAGATGGAAGATTCTCAAAGAAGCAATTTTCCCCTTCTAAGGCAGATGAAAACCTGTACATGTACCTGAAAATTTTTTCCCATTTTTAAAATATAAAATTTCACATTACATTTTCTGCTCTTCCTTTTTGGAATGATTAAATGTAACACTTCTTTCATAGTTTTTTGTTCACTTATTCTGAAATGGCTTGCCTTTTCCTAAGTAGTGTGTGAGGTTGGCGGATGTAGATGGTGCATACGAGTGCAACTGTGAATGTTTTCCAAGGTAATAGAGAATGAGGAACTACCTTCTGAAACTTTAAGTTGAACCCCAGTCCCCCACTTTGTGATACTCTGTCTTCACTTTCTCTTTTTAAAAAGTTACTCTCCTTTTTAATCTTTCTAGCCTGACAACTGATATCAGCAGTTGTTTAATTGGTATTTGGTGCTTAAACCATAGTTGAGTCTCTAGCTCCTTAGGTTTCATTACTGTACTTTATTTAAAAAGCCTGACATTTAGTTACTTGAGCATTTCTAAAGCAGCTTTTGAAGTAGCAAACAATTAAGACTATATTTAACTTTTCAGTTATCCTACTTAACTGTTAAGGGCAAAGCAGGAAAAGACAACTGCTTGGTACCTGAAGCAAACATATTAAAAGAAGGAGGAAAAGCCTTACTCTGAAATGATTGTAGATAGATAATAACAGTAAGGCAGCCATATATAATGTTAACACTTGAAAAATCTTGATGAAGTTTTGATGAATTTCAGTGTACTAGTCTTGGTTGCTTTTTAAAGTAGGTATGACATTTTTTCAAAATAACATGTTACTGGAAATAATCTCAAATGACTAGTAACCATTTTTTCTAAAGTAAAGATGAAAAATATCTTTGGTATTAATGTTTCCCATTTTTATCTTTCTCCATTCCTGATGCTCAGCATTAATTATACTTTAATAAAGACTGAATTTAATTAAGTCAGTGGCCTGCACCAGCATGGTCAGTGTAGGAAAGATCTTCCTACAAATCATCACCATAGCTTTGTTCATTTGCAGCTGTCTTCACAACTAAGTTGTCCAGCTTATTTTTTTCAAGTTTAAATTTCCTTTTCATCAAAAGGTCAAATTTGGGTTAATTATGCTAAACACACAATCTTGTATAGAATCTTTTTTCCACTTTTCAAAACTGTTGAATTAGGACCTTAATTAACTGTGGAGTTACACTTTTGCACTGTGTTTAATGCTCGCATTGTAGGAAAAGTTACCAGAAAGAAGAGAGATTAGGGATGAGTGTCACACTGACACAAGGCCTGGAATGTAATAAGTATTCTGTAACTGTTTCTTGAACTAATAATGAAGGAATCAAAGGCTGACATTATTTATTTACCACCTACCAAGCCCTTAGATTAAAGACTATTGTGCATTATCTCATGAATCCTCACAACAGCTTCATGTGAGTATGGGTTCTGTTGTTATCCCCCTTTTACAAATGGGAAAACTGAAGCTCAGACAGCATGCATGAAGGTGGCTGAGTTAGGATTCTAATGGGGTCTTTCTGACTATAGTCACTAACCTCACACTTTCAGTCATAGCATTTCTACCTATAGAATGTTTTACTTCGTTTGAGAGTCACTTCATAAGAAAGAGGGTGTTTAGTTGTTGGTTTGGGGAGGATTAATTGTAATTAATCTTGGCTGAGGAGAGAGGATCTCCCTTTTCTTGGTTTTTGAATTGAAACTGTTGTCCAATATGATAGCCACTAGCCACATGTGGCTGTTTACATTTAAATATGAATTAACTAAATACAATTTAAAATTCATTTTCTCAGCTTTATTACCCATATTTCAAGTGTTCAGCAGTCACATACAGTTAGTGGCTTTATTGGACAACACGGAGCAAATTTCCCTCATCACAAAAAGTTCTGTTGGATAGCATTACAGAGGCTCCAGGGTTATCAGTTGAAACTCTTGAAAGTCCAGCTCTCAAAAGCAGTAACACTCTATTTTTCTTGGGTTGTATCAATTAATTTAAATTTGTATATTTGTAATTATTTCCTATTACCCAACAAATTATGATGGAGGGGCAGGAAATTAGGATGGGGTGAGTGACCCATACCTGCAGTCCTAGCTATACTCAAGAAGTTGAGGTGGGAGAATAACCTGAGCTCAGGAGTTTGAGGCTGCAGTGAGCTATGATTATGCCCTGCAGTCTAGCCTGAGTAACAGAATGAGACCTGTCTCTAAGATGGATGGATGGATGGATGGATGGATGGATGGATGGATGGATGGATGGCTGGATGGATGGATGGATGGATGGATGGATAGATAGATAGATAGATAGATAGATAGATAGATAGATAGACAGACAAAGGAAGTTAATATTTGGAGCAAATATAATAGGCAATGCTGGAAACAAGAAGACAAATATTTTTCAAGCAGATGGTTCTGTGTTGTTAGAAATTATTTTACTTTGTTTACTAATATCACAATAGTGTCGAAGGCACAGAGGAAATACAATATTTTTAAAGTATAATTTTTATTATGAAATATTTTAAACACATACTTTTTTAAATGGTGAAAAAGAGCAGTTGGATACATTTTTTTACAATAGACTCATAAAGGAATTTATAAGTGGAACATTTAATCACCTGATTATTTCAGAAATATTTTAAGAATGTAGTCCACAATTTTGCCTGGACGTCTGTCTTAATATGGTCATCACCCAAGTGGGAAAGCACAAACCCTGGGCATGAACTTCATCTCCTTAGGCTCACATTGCTCATCTGTCACCTGGAGGAGGCAGAGTATCTGCTCTGAGATCATTCCTAGGACGTATTTACATCCTATGACTCAGACTAGGTTCAGGGCTAGAGATCCACTTCCTGAGACTGGCCATTTCTCCATTGCAGTAGATGTGGAATTACAGGGTTGAATGGAAGGATTTATAGAAAAATTTAAAGTCATATTTTACCTGTTACATAATTTTTAAAAAAATTTCCTTACTTGTCCTATGAAAAAATTTAAAAAATGAAGAACAAATGTTATTTCGCCTGAGAAAGGGAAGATTTAAGGCTTAACTTAGTTCCTATGCCCTAAAAGATATATTATAAGGAGTATTTCCTATCTTCACAGAAGATGTTCTTATTTTTCAGTGAAGAAAATGCTTGTTTAATGTCTACCTTGCTCCTGCCCCCAGACTCTGTCTCCTTAGGGGCAAGAATGTGTATCTGGTTAAATGTTTTATCCTCAGTGCCTGCTTAGAGCCAGAATATAGTGAAACATTCAGCCAGTATTTGCTGATTGAACAAATGAACATTTGTCATGTAAAAATAATAACTCCTGACACAGGTATATTTGAAAGTTGTCACCTCAGCACATATCTGTTGTTAGTGTACCCCAGCTCTGCTTCGTCAGTTCCCTAAGAAAGGGGTACCAGACAGTTTGGTCATGATGAACCTGTTGCCTTGGATTTTACTGCTGGAACATTTGGAGAATGTCTTGTACATGTAGGGTACCCAAACATTTGTTTAACAAAATAATAGAAGGGATCATAAGTATGTGTAATCAAAAATAGATCTTCAAACACTAGTTTTTGTTTGACTTCAGAATATGTTATCTGAATTTATCAACAAAATTAACTTTTGTGTTTTTTTCATAACAAGTGATTGGTGTTCTTTTGAAAGAACGCTGCTTTCTTTAGATTCAAGAAGAACCTTAGAATTTTTTAATACTGTATGCACATACATACTTATATACATATTTGATATTTGTGTCATGAGTTTTGGATTCTGTTTTATATTTTAATATATGTGATACATGACAGTTTAGAAATATATTTTGGAAATACATATTTTGTCTTTTCCATCTTTCTAGAGTATAAGTTCTTGAGGTAAGAACTTTGTCTTCTTCATCACTCTATCTTTGCATCTAGAAATGTGCCTGGCGTGGAGTAGGCACACAGGAAATATTGTAATTACACAACAAATGCTTTTTCATAAGAGGTCTATTGGATCCTAAGTTTGTTTGTAAGTTAGTCAGTGTTCTAGTTTAGTGTAAATAGTCATCAATTTTTAGTAATTGGAAGACTAGCTCTTATTTTTGCATTCTTCTTTCAGGAAGAATCCTCAGCACAAGATAGAATATAGACATAGTACACTTCCAGGTAAGTAATTTTACTTCAGGAAATTCAAAATGAAACCTTTAAGTGATTCTCCTATTAAACCTAGATAGTTTCCAGTTATTATGAAAATATTTTAAAATCTCTGCTTCTGTGAATTTATTGAATTGCTGATTTTAATGATTTTTTCTTAAAAAAAAAAAAAAAACTGCAACCCTTTGATATAGCAAATGCTTTCCCCATTGTCCACAATATATATTTGCCTTGTATCTCTTAGGATTCTTTTATTTGCAAGTACCTGAAAACAAAATCTTAAACTGGCCTAAATGATAATTGACTTCTATAACTGAAACATCCAGAGCTAGGGCTGGATTTATATAAGCTATATTGCTTTGGCTCATTAATAGTGTCAATAATGTCCCCCAGGATCCAAATGTTTTCCTTCATTCTGTCTTTAGAGGGGTCATAATCATCCTAAGGCTGGCTCCTCTTCCGGTGAGGGACTTTATGTATCCTTATTCAGCTGGGACGATAATCACCCGTAAAGAGCATAAACAACTTTGACCCTCATGATTCCTGGGAAAAATCAGAAAATTCACTTTTTATTACTGGATTAGATCACATTCTTAACCTTGATCCAATCACCATGGCCACTGATTAGTTTGTACCACTCCTGAAACCAGAGTGGAGTCACTTTCATCAGAACCACAGCCATCTCCAATAAAAGCTAGAGCTTTGAGGAAGGGAGGAGGGGGGAGAGACACCAGAGAAGCAACCATCAAATGTCCATCTCTCCTACTTACCTCAATCTGTTTTACCTTCTGTTTCTTATGCTTCTAAACTGTAACATTTTTCTTCTTTAATAAAATCTGGCTTTTTCATATCATTCATATAATACAGAGGCTGATTCAGCACATAATATTTCTGCTCACAGAGTGAGAAAATAAAATGCATACTATCAAGGCTGTGCTCACTTGATTTATATGTGCATACAAACAGCTGACTTGTAATCAAGGAAGTGATGAAAGTAAATGATTTCACTATACGGGAATTCCATTTGATATTTCTTATTGAAACACACTTTAGTGCTTTAGTACTCCAGACATAAAAATATTCCCTTTATCTGAGCTAACATAGTATGGAGGTTACATGTTATATATTATACTTTCTTTACTGTGCTCGTATCTCATGATGTGGCAGTTATGGTAGTTTAAGTGTCTTCCTTTCTAGCAATAATGTAATTGTATTTGATTAAAAGTATATATTGTTCACAAATTGTAGCATTGTCCCATGCAAGAGCATTTGACACATTTATATAACTTTATAGAAATAGGAAATATTTACCTAAAAACTATGAATACACATCATATAGCATAGTTAAAAATATCTGAATTTTTGTTGAAAATTTCTTGAAATTATTGAAGTATTTTTTGAATGAAGAACATATTTTAAGACAATTAACTTTTTAAAGAAAAACTTTATTGAAAAGATCATTTTTAATAGAAGTATATATATTTTAAAGGAGTAAGTTTAAGGCTATAGGTTTAGTCTTATATTTTTAATGTACTTTCAGAAGTTGCTATGTGGCAATATAGTCAGAACATCTCTTACCCTACAAAATCTAAAAATTGGGGATTTTGAGTATTTCAAATATTAAATGTTAAGGTATCATTGTATTTTTCTGATTTAGAGATACCTAATAAAGAATTCTAACATACTTGTTTTTCTTGTATCCCAAATCATTAAGATTTAACAGTACCCCCAAATCTTAATCTCAGCTACGTATTGATTCATTTACTCACACATTCACATATTCATTTGTTGAATGTCTTCCACGTGAGAAAAGCTACAGAGAGATGAGAACCAGCTCATAATTGTGGTTATGGGAACCAGCTCTGGCTCTCCCCACTTGTGGTGAGATGCTCTGAAGTCTCCGGGGAAAGAGAGGGAGTACTTTCTGCTGGGGATTATCAGGTAGACTTGATATGAGAATTTTAAGTAAAAGTTGGCCTTTAAGAGGGTAGGATTTCAATCACTTTTGTTTCTTTGCTGTGTAGGAGGTTGGTATGGGACATCACAGGCAAAGTGAATAATAGATCAATCAAGGACATCAAGGTAGAAGTGTTGTAGTTGGAGTTAGCAAGTGGATCATTTTAACTGATGTGGGAAGTTAAAATCTCTATAGTTGCTTTGGATGTTGCTAAAAGGGTGTATTGAAGCTAGATTATGGAAACTCTCTACGGCCAGACCAAAGACATGGGCACTTTGGCACATAATGATGAGCCAGTATTTTACCAAAATCAAGCTGGTGATAAACAGTTTGAATTAGAGAGGGGGAAGCCTGGAGATTAGTTAGGTAGAATAAAGGGCTAGAACTAGGGCAGCTATCATGAACATGGAAAGGTTGGACTGGATACAAGAGGGATTTTTGAAGGATGAATCAAGAGGATTTACCAACTAATCAGTTGACTATGATATGGGGATGAGGTAAATGAAGTCAGGATGACTCAGGATTATAGTACACATTATCAGGAGACTGGACAAGGCACACGATAGAGAATAGGGTGAACTAGGGAGTTTTGTTGTTTTTGCTTTCATTTAAACGTTGAATTTGAGAGGGGGGGTATCATAAGGACATATATAACAAGATAATGCAATTATTAATATAGGGCCAACATTAAAATAACTACATTAAACTGTTACTGTTTACTTTCTGATTTGTAATACCCCTAAAACACTGTCATCTATAGAGTGCTTCTATACATGTAACAGTTTATATAGTGCATTCTGTTTCTTGTAGGTTTGACTCCTGTCATTTGTTACGTTTCTTGTATATATAATTGGTTTAAAATCTTATTTAACTTTCCACACTTTTTCAGAGTGCTACAATGTTTGCACTAGTTATTGAATGCTAAAGTAACCAGTGCCAGGAAGATTTTGTTTTATTCTTTTTTAGCTGCCTCATCTGTTGACAACGTTTAAAGGAAATTATCATCAATATTTTATGTAATTATTGGGGTCCTTCTTTCTGGCCTCTATTATTATGTGATATGTATTATTCTAGGTGATTGATACCATTCATGACTGAAAATTTAGAATGGTCCACTGATAGCTACTTTAATGTTTCTCTATTTCTACAATTGTTTACATGTACGTGCTTATATATACTCTTATTCAGAAGGTAAAACTAAAAGATCTAGAAAGAAAGCTATTAAGGAGGCTTAGTGGGATTTACATGAAATTCTATAAACTGCTACTTAATGTGTAGAAAACTAATGTATGGAATATGAGAAAGCCTGATGCAATGGAATTATAAAAAGAAATGAACTTTATATATAATAAAGTAGATCAGAAATATACAAAAGCTAAAATATAAACACCAACTAGTTGCTTAGTGCATTTTTAAAAAATAGTCTTTAATAGTAAAATGCAGCATTATTAAAAAATGTTTGTTCTTGTAAATATAGTAAATTTTCAGCTTTAGGAATATTGAGCCGAAATATTTATTTACTTAATAAAAATTAACATCCTAATTAGTCCTAAGATTTAATAGAAAATTAAAGAAAATAAAACATGAAGAATTATTGGTATTAAACTATTAATCTGCTGTGGGGAGCGCCTGTCATCTTAGATCTAACACCAAAAAACTATTGGTAAAAATCTGCAGTTTGGCTGGGTGTGGTGGCTCATGCCTGTAATCCCAGCACTTTGTGAGGCCAAGGCAGGAGGATCACTTGAACCCAGGAGTTCACTACCAGCCTGGGCAACAGAGTGAGACTACATCTCTACAAAAAATAAAAAAAATTAACCAGTTGTGGTTATGGGCACACCTGTGGTCCCAGCTACTTGGGAGACTGAGGTGGGAATATCGCTTGAGCCCAGGATGTCAAAAATGCAGTGAGCCATGATTGTGGCACTGCACTCTATCCTGGGCAACACAGCAACACCCTGTCTCAACAAAACAAAACAAAACACTGCAATTTGAAAGGATTTTTCTCCATGCAGAATCAACATTTCTTCCAGCATGTATGTCACACAGTGTGCTCTTCAATAGTTTGAAGACTTAGTTCTTGAGATAAGAATTAATGGTGAAATTTTAAATTGTAAAAGAAATATTAGACAAAAATTTGGAATTGTCATTCTCATATTATAAATTCCTCTGCATATAAAAAATCAGAAATTACCATATTCTAATCCCATGTAGTAAATAATGTGTTATTTTAAATATGTTAAAGATTTTATTATTTTTTCTAAAAGTTATCTTTCATAATGGTAGTTCAGCGTTACCCATCAGTGTTTACAAACTAGTGACAGCGTATTTCACCAGTTCTGGCTTTAAGTAGTCAAACTGTCAATTCCTGTCCACATTTCATTTTACTTCACTGATTTGTAGAGAAAATGAAGGTTCCTGTTGGGGCCTTAAAATTAGAACTCTGGAGTTAGAAATATCTTTGTGATCATTTAATCGAATGATTTGTAGTTTAAAAAGTAATTTCTGGCCAGGCTTAGTGGCTCACACCTGTAATCCTAGCACTTTGGGGGGCTGAGGCGGGTAGATCACCTGAGGTCAGGAGTTCGAGACCAGCCTGACCACAATGGTGAAACCCCGTCTCTACTAAAAATACAAAAATTAGCTGGGCATGGTGGTGGGCCCCTGTAATCCCAGCTACTCAGGAGGCTGAGGCAGGAGAATTGCTTGAACCCGGGAGACAGAGGTTGCAGTGAGCCGAGATTGTGCCATTGCACTCCAGCCTGGGCAACAAAGTGAGACCTTGTCTCAAAAAAAAAAAAAAAAAAAAAAAAAAAAAAAAAGTAATTTCCATTAGGTTAAGTCACTTGTTCATTGTCATGAGCTTGTTTGTAACACAGATAGTTGGACTTCTAACACCTGGTCTAGTCCTCTTTCTCTTAAACTATGTTATTTTAAAGAGTCTTTTTGTTGGGTAAGATGTGAATGCACATGATCACATAACATGTGCTAATGATCTCTCAATAAACAGTTTCCTTTCAGATTCAGAAATCACTTAACAGCTTTAAAAGAAAAACAGATAAAAAGCCAGAACAACTTCCGGTTCTTATAGACAATCAAATGAGATCAGAGGTAACTAGCAGGAAGAAATTTGTAAGCATTCTAGGCAAAAAGAGAGAAAAGACTTACTTCTTTCAAGTTTGCCTTGACTTAGAAGTGTTAACCCAAATTTAAAAAAAAAAAAAAGAAGCTTTCTAAGATAAATTTACTTGGGAATATTGTAATGAGAATACATGTGTCATTGTAAAAATCAGTATTCAGAGTATTTTCCAGGTGAGTAAAGTTTAATTTTTTTTTTTGGCCCAGTTACACTGAAAGGCAGAATTGGATATTTCTCTAAAAACACCTTCAGATTCTACTAGCAATTTTTTAAAATGGAAAGTCATCTAGGTAGCATTTGTTTTATATAATATTTAAAGTTATTAATTGAATTTTCCACAATATAATCTATTAAATAATTGGTCCCACAAAGATAATCACATATCAGCATTTACAACCCTGTTATGAAGGATCTGTGTGACACCACTAACAAAGGACACAGAGCTGAATTCTAGAGCTGACTTCGTGTTCATGTCATGACTTGGCTCTTCAGGTGGCTTCACTTAAAGTATAAAGTACCTGTTCATATGAGTTAAGGTGGATTAAATTTGACTACTAGCTACGTTGAATTCTCTTACAGATGGTTTTGTTAGATTCTGGACTTCTTGTTAGAAGAACATTAATGTGTAAAGGTAAACATAAAATGTAAGTGATGATAGATATGAGCTTTTTTTTGAGTAAAAAAACAAAATTATTCCGATTAATGTGGCCTTACTGCCTCAACAAATAAGGCTTCTTAATAAGTTGCTAAATATTTCCAGGGTTCACTGAGGCTTCATTTAGCAGAATTAAGGTCTTTTACATAATTCATTATATTGACTGGCAGGCTAGTGATCAAAAGTGTAGGCTAAAATAAGAAGGGTTTCTGTAAAACTAAAGATGTTCAGTAGTTGATTTGCAAATGGTTCACTTGTTTATATTGATGTATTCAACAAATATATTTATTAAGTGCTCCCACATGTTAAGCACTGTTGTCTGAGCTAAGGACACAATAGAAACAAAGCCCTGCTCTTGCAGAATTGTACACAGATGGGCAGTGCACACATAAGCAATTATTTGATGTCATATGTTGATAATTAGAAGAAAAATAAGCTGTGTAGGAGGACAGAATAGCAAGGGTGTGTACATGATATGGGGAGTGCCATGTCAGAAAGGATGGTAAAAGAAGCACTCTGATAATTTGACATTAGAGCCAAAGCTTGGAGGAGGGAGCAAGCCAAGTGATTATCTAAGGAAGAATATGCCAGGCATTAGGAATCATGAGTTTAAAATCCCTGGTGATGACCATGTTTGTACTGTAGGAATAGCAAAGAGCAAATACAATTGGAACAGTACAAGTAAACAGAATGGCATAGGATGAGATCAGAAAACTACTAGTGGGCTAGTTGAGTACAGTCTTCAAAGCTGAGACCTGTAAATAAAGACTTCAGATTTTATTTAGAGTGAGACAGCTATTGGAAGGTTTTCTGACTTTTTTTGTGAAGAATAGACTAGAATGGAAGCAAGGGAGACAGTTAGGAGGATATTGTATCCAGGAATAAAGTGGTAGTACTGGGGCCAGGGCATTAGAGTGGATGTGATGAGAAGTGGTGGATTTACTTTGCAGGTAAAGCTAACAGGATCTCCTGAGGTATTAGATGTTGGGTTCTCGGTAAGGGATATTCAAGGATGACTACAAGATTTCTTGCTAAAACAACTAGATGGTTGGATGATTAGAGAAGTCATATATTCAAGACTGATAAATAGAATGACCAGATCTGGGTGAAGCAACTAAAGAGTTATGTTCTGGAAATGTTATATTCCAGGTGCCTGTAAGTCATCCAAGTACAGATAATGCTTAGGTATCCAGATAAATGAGTCTGGAAGTCAGGGCAGTAGGTCAGGGCTTAAGATGTGAATTTGGGAATTTAGGACATAAGACTGGATGAAATCATCTAAGGAGTGAGTTAGAGAAGAAGTTCCAGCTCTAAAAAGTTAGAGATTAGGATGATGAGGAAAATCCAGCAAAGAAAACTGAGGAGCAGCAGCCAATGAAGTGAGCAGAGAACCTGGAGTTGTTTCAGCTTTGTATCTGTTTTTCTTGTAAAGCTGCTAAGTTGTTCTGAATCTGAAAGGAAACTGTTTATTGAGATATCATTAGGACATGTTATGTGATAATGTGCATTCACATCTTAGAAAAGAAAGTTATGTGTATAAGGTACTTCCAAGAGGAAAATTGACAAAAATAGAGATATTGATGTTCTTTCCTTCTCACTCCCTTTCCCAACTGTAAACTGCCTTCCAATTTTTAAAAAATGCATGTTATTATTTTTAAAAATATGGGTAACTGAGATTAGACATAAAACATGCCCTCAAGATGTTTACAGGAGCTGTATATACAGATAAATGTAATGCAAGATTTTCCTTAAGGAACTGGTGAGCTTCCTACTATAATGAGAATTGTGCAAGTTATTATATTGCCTTTTTAGCCGTGGCTACCAAGAATCTTGGGGATAAATTTGATGCTCTATTTTTAACAATTATGTTAAAAATTGAGATTATCATATGTGTATTCTGCTTTTTATGTTTTTGATTTCTACCTTTATTAGCATTTTATTATTATAAACTATCTCAAATCCTTTCTGGAATGAGTACTGATATTAAGAAAAATATAAATGTGGCCAGGCGTGGTGGCCCAAGCCTGTAATCCCAGCACTTTGGGAGGCCGAGATGGGCGGATCACGAGGTCAGGAGATTGAGACCATCCTGGCTAACACAGTGAAACCCCGTCTCTACTAAAAATACAAAAACTAGCCGGGCGAGGTGGCGGGCGCCTGTAGTCCCAGCTACTCGGGAGGCTGAGGCAGGAGAATGGCGTAAACCCAGGAGGCAGAGCTTGCAGTGAGCTGAGATCCGGCCACTGCACTCCAGCCTGGGCTACAGAGCGAGACTCCATCTCAAAAAAAAAAAAAAAAAAAAAAAAGAAAAAAGAAAAATATAAATGTATTGGGCTATAAAGGTTAAAAGGACAGATATGTTACTTCCTTTGTCATTTTTCTCATTTTTCCCAATTCATTGACTTTATTTTTAAAATTATAACTATATGTTGCATGTGAACATTTTAGAAAGATATTAACCAAAGTATATACTAAAGTACATACATTAATGTTTTTAACCTATACATTTGCTGTTCATCAGGGACTGTCCTCTGCCATTCAGATTTCTAGATACAGTCTTCTTAATTGTTTCTTGAATGTTCCACACTGTCCTAGAGTCTTTCACTGCTTTATTTTAAAGCAACTCTGTAGCTCACTGTGGAAGGAGTAGGATGAGGGAAGAAATGAATTTGGAGACAGAATAATTCTAGTATTGTAATATTACTTAGAAATCTGTAAATTATAATGTCTGTTACGATGGCAATCCTAGTCTTATTGAAACATGAACTGTAAGAATATCTTAGACCTATAAAACTAAACTTTCCAAAGTATCTGAGCTAACGCCCTGATGTATCAATAAGCTTTTGCTAGGTTTGCTGTAATAACAAACATTTCTAAATTTCAGTGCCTTATAACAATAAATACACTTATTTCAGTGTATTTCTCCTTATTGCAGCTGTGAGTTGGCTGTGGCCGTGTGCCATGTGTATTCTCATCCTGGAATCCAGACTGAGGGATTGGCCTCTATCTGGGACATGCTATTCTTGTGGCAGAGGGGAAATGGCAATAGCAGAACCAGAGAAGGAGTCTTAAAGCATCCTGTTGGAAGTAACACACACTATTTCCACTCACATTTCTTTGGGCAATCACTGAGAAGTGAGGAAGTATAATCATATCACAGGAAGGGGCAGTGAATAACTGGGACAAAAATACATTCTACCACATGGGAAGATGGGATGTTGTGAATATGATTATGAGATTAAGGAAGCATTATTACTAATATCATGGGCCATTTTAGTTTCAGGAACCTCATGGTAGGAAAAGTTAGAATAATAAATAACAAAGCATCATTTTAGTGCCCTTTCCAGAAATCTGTAGTGGTAAGCTATGCATTAATAAAATTAATTCTCTGGATGCAGAAAGACATTTTATAGGTAGATGTCTGTCATCCCAGGTTGAGTGGCAATTGATGTGTTGTGTACCAATCTTCTGTTTTTCAGTGAGAAATGTTTTAGATGAAGATAATGATAATGTTGGGCAACCCAGTGAGTATGACCTGAACGACAGCTTTCTAGATGATGAGGAAGAAGACTATGAGCCAACAGATGAAGATTCTGACTGGGAACCAGGAAAGGAAGATGAAGAGAAGGAAGACGTGGAAGAGCTTTTGAAAGAAGCAAAACAGTTTATGAAAAGAAAATAGTAACTAACTTCTGTAGTCATATGTGCCTTACATTTACTTTTTCTTTGTGGGAAAACATTTATGAACTAAGGAGGTACTTAAGTGACAGTTATTTCCTTCTTTTGATAGTTAATGACTTCTACTACTGACTCTTTACAAGTGAGACATTGAAACGTCAGCCTTCAGTATAATAGATGGAATTTTTTGTTGCCTTGCCTTTTCTTTCCTACTTAAAGCATCTGGAAATAGGAAGACAGAGAAGGTAGAGTAAAAATGGATATTTTTTATGTACTTTGTATATTGGTAATAAAAAGTAAAAGCCATAGGTTGCGCAAAACTTTGGTCTTTGTAAATTTTTTTCCAAAGATTATCTTTGTGGAGTACTCTGCAAGTATAACCAGGCAAATTACATGAAAACATGCCTCTTTTCATTGTTACTGAAGTAATTCTGTAAGCAGAACAGGATTTTTAAAATGCAGCCATTACTTAATGGCTGTTTTTTTTCTAGTACCTTAGATGTGAGCTTTGCAATTTCACTTACTACTTTTGTCCTTCAAAACTTGGGAAGATTGGTTCCAAATGGATACTGAAAATAGATTCAACTAGGCTGTAGAATAGAAATGTTCACCATGCAGGGAATGTTATTTTGTGTTCCACATCTGCAATTTACTGTATGTTTGAATTTAAAAGTAAAAAAACTCAAAGAATTTGACCTTTTTTTTTCAAACTAAAGTCCTACCTGATTATTTTAACTCTCAATGTGCTGTCTTTATATTAAGAATAGAGAAATGACATAGCTTTCTCAAATGGCGTGAATTTTGCCTTAGTTTTTTTGACCTCTGATGAAAGTAGCAAGTTGTTTACCAGTTGAAAGTTCAAGATTCTGGCCTCCCATATCAAGAAGAAACCACTTATTCTTCAGTTTCATGACGTATCTTTCTGTGTTTCTGTTCTAAAACTACTTTAAGCCCTATAATGCTCTTCATTTTAAGTGACTTTGAATTGTTAAAATGTAGTTTAGAATCTTTAATAACAGTTGGGTTGCGTACACAGAGCAGGAGATATTTATTGAAATCATAAATCACTAAGCCAAAAGAGTCTTTGTTAAATACTAATATTTTCTACTCTAAAGGAACCTAAAAATTTATATTTTAAAAGAGCAAAACATATTTATAATATTATTTCTCAGTGCTTTTAAATGTATCTCCCAGTAATTGTATAATATTTAATATTTACTTAAACTGGAACAAGAATAAGATAAACATTTCTCTAGACTATTACCTATTATTCTGATTTTATCTCTTATTGTTATTTGGGAACTATTTTTCCCCTTATAATGTCCCTTTAACCTTGGTAGTATAACAAGTCTATGAATGTAATATTTAACTTATTTTCATCCCTGTCACTAACTTAATCCTTGAAGTGTTACTTAATCTACTCCTAGTTATACACCCACAGGAATTGAAAACATTTTCATATAAAAACTGCACACAATGTCGATAGGAGCATTATTCTGAAAAACCTATTAAAATATTCCTTCCTTTTCAACCACATATCTGTGTAAGGCCTGGTTTTCTCCATGTACTTCAAGCGAAACAACATATGAGAGCAGACATAGGAATCTACCTGTCTTCTAGAGAAGACAGACATTAAAGAGATTTGCAAAAATTTAAAACAATGCCATTCATCTCACTAAATTCTTTAAAATACATAATTTTTAAATAAAATATATGTGTTAGTGTTTAATGGGTTTACTCTTCTTTTTAAGTGAATTACTAAATATTTTTAAAATTTCTCAATTATAATCTCCAGTATGGTAACTATCTACAAGTACGACCCTCATAAACAAAAGCTTTTTGGGTTTCTCAGTAATTTTTAAGAGTGAAAAGAGTCCTGAGGCTGAAAATTTTGAGAACCACTCCAGTAGGTCACTGTACCATTCAGCTGGACGAGTTACGCTAGGATAACCCCAAAATCTCAGTGCCTTAACACAAGGAACGTTTCCTTATGCTAAGATTTTCTGTGTTGGGTGACCCTCTAGGGCACTGTCTTCCATGTAGCAACTTAGCATTCCAGCATTTTAGAGTCTCTGCCTTCTTGTAGTTGTGTCATCTGGATCATGAGACCTTCTTAATCATGACTGCAAGGGGAATACAGAAAGTAGAGGGTTATAGTGTAATTAAAGGCTTCAGGCTGAAGAGACATCACTCCTGTTTGCAGCTCATTGGCCAGAAGTAGTTACATGGCTTTATCCACTAGAAGGGGCATGGGAAGTACAGTCTTAGGGGTGTCCAGAAAAGATGAGAAACAGAGTGAACACTAGTAATGTCTACCACAGTCGCCAAAGGAGTAAGTGGTAAAAGAGAGTTGAGTGTGTTGAGTGTGTCATCATTTAAGGGATAGGAAGATAAATAAAAAGATTCTTCAGAGGAATTAGAAGAAGAGGAATGTTAGGAACTTTCTGTGTCACAGAGTTGAAAGTAGAATGAATATTAAGAAGGAAGAAGTAGTCAATATTGTCAGTTGCTATAGAATGGTTACACGCCTAAGAACTGAGATTAGATTTAGCTTCCTAATTCACCGAGATAATTGAAGCTATTCGATGATAACTTTTACAAACTCTCACCTGCATCCACCCACCTACCAGCTATTCTCAAATTATTTATCTTCTCCCCCGGTATTATAGATAAATTATTATTTTATTTAAAACCATTTCCCTAGATCCAGGCATCTCTTACGTGCTTAAGGACTTTACACTGGTAATTCCACCCCCTCTCCCATCTCATCAGTTTTTTCCCATGTACTGATTCATTCCCATCACCATGTAAACTTAATGGTATTTCTTCCATCTTAAAGAAAAAACAAAAAACTTCCTTAATTCACTCCCCCCAACAGCTTTACTAAGCTATTTATCTTCTCCCCTTAACAGCAAAATTCCTCAAAAGTGTTGTCTATACTCGCTGTCACCAGTGCCTATCCTTTAAGTCCTTCAAATTGTAACAGAAAAACATCAAAAGAACTAACATAACTAATTCCATTTTCGTTTAAGGGACCTTTACCCATTGCTACACATAGGCTGGGATTTCAGAGCACTGACATTAAATGTAAAAACAGGAATCATGTAGTTTTTGAAACTCTGGGATTATATATGTAAACAACTATATTTTATTAAAGATGTATAGGTGTGTGGTGACCTGACCAAGCACAAAGAAGTTCCCAACCCCCTTGGACCCTTACTGGTGCCCAGATATTTGTACTCATTGGTCATCTCTTGGTCCCAACCCCCTCCTCTTCCTTTTGCCCTTAACATAAAAACAGCCTGAAATTTGTTCTGATTTAAGATGGTACTTTAGGACGTTAGTCTGCCATATTCTCAGTTTACTGCCTTTCCAAAATTAAGTTGCTTTCCTTGCTCCAACTCCTTGTCTGCCTACTTATTGGCTGTTGTGCGGTGAGCAGGATGAGTTTGAACTTGGTTACAGAATCAAGCCTTTCCTACCACCTTTCCATTGAAACTGCTTTTGTCAGGTGCATCAGTGATTTCCACTCTCCTGAATCCTATGGTCATTTCTTAGCCCTCATCCTTCTCAACCTTTCCTCAACATTTGAAACAAGCAAGATGTCAGGGTGTTCAGGAAGAAATAGTGGAGAAGAAATAAATATATTGATTGTAATCACTCCAGGGAAGTTTAGAGATGATAAAATCAGTAGAGGTTTGTTTTGTGTGGCATTGTTTTTACGGTGGGAGCACAGAGCATGTTTTACAGGCAGAAAGAAGGAATCTGCAGAGAGAGATTACAATGTTGTGAAAGTTAAGGAATGGGTACTTGTACTTCTGTTAGCATTTTTGTATTAGTTAAATTTATTAATACAGTGATCCTTAAACTAGCTGTGCATCAGAATCCCCTGTGAAGTTCTTTTTAAAAAAAATAGGTACTGGGTTTCCTGAGAGACCGACTGAGTCAATCTCTCAGATGGGGCACTAATATTAGTACTAAAATATGCACACATACACACACGCACGCGCGCACACACACACACACTCTGTTTCATGGATTAGGTGCTGTTGAAGGACAGCTTTGGAAAGCAGGCAGTACAAGCCCACTTCTATATATCTCTAGTGAGCAGTTCAGTCCAGCCCCAACAATGAAAAGCAAGCAGAGTTTGTGACACCTCAAAAGAAAATTAATCATTCTGAAGTTTGGGATTAATCTGTGAGATTTTCATTTTTCATAAAGCATAAAAGATGGAAAGTCAAGAATAGAATTAACCAATACTCTTCGAAACCATAAAATTATACACACAGTAATTCCATCAGTGACACACATTATTCTTGAGATTTTAACCTTCATTAGCTGTGAGTTTAGCAGCTCACATTGGTACTAACTACACTGTCAGGAAACTTCCTTGTATGTGCCATGGGTGTCATTTTGTCTGTGGAGCCCACAGTGGAAACTTCCTATGGTGTAATGAAATTAGAAACAAACAACCAAAGGACAGGAAATATAAATCTAATGGATGTGACATTTTAATCCATCCTTCTGAATAGATTAAAATCACACCTCTGGAAAAAAAAGGCATCAGGTTGAACTTGTAAACTGTTTAAAAATAAGCAATAATCAGAGTATTATGTTACTATTATGTAGCAAGTAATATATTTGAAGAAAAATAATATTGTCTTACGTATATATATTAGAAAAAAGACTAATAATAAATCAACTGAGTATTTTAGAGCTAGACAAAAGCAGAACATCACAATTAGCCAGGGATAGGACAGAATTAGTAAAGTAAAATCTTGAGATAAAAGACTGAAAAAAGAAAACCCAACAGACTTGATCAATAAGACAAAAAATAAAGAGAACTCTTAGCAAAAAAAAAAAAAAAAAAAAAGACATTAAAAATAAAAGGGTTAGAACTACAAAAAGGGATGTTTTAAAATTTTGTAAGAGAGTATGTACAACTTCATGTTAATTTGTAAATTTAGATGAATGTATGACTTTATAAAAAAAAATAACTTTCCAAAGTATACTTTATAAAACATTAAAAAGGGTGAACAGATTAACAGCCACAGAGGAAATGGAAAGTATTCACATTTCTACTCCTAGGATAGTACTAAACATTGGGAATTACAAATGAATTATATAAAACTTATATTCAGCAAACAATTTCCCTGTTACAAGAATTACTATAGAATATGGAAAAACATGGAAACTCCAATTCTTTAAATTAGCCAAAGAAAACTTACAAAGTAACCTCAATATGAACATGGATATTAAAATCCTAAATAACTACTCAATTGACTTTAACAATGCACTAAGATATCCTGACCTAGAAGGGTTTCTGTTGAGAGTGTAAGGGTAGTTCAGTGTCAATAAATCTATTGTTGCAATTCATCACATCAGCAAATTAAAGGAATGACTTATGATCTCATGAAAGGCCAAAAAAGGTATTGATAATTCTGTATTGTTCCCCTTCAAAACACAAACTAATAAAAAGAAAACTCGTGGTAAGATAAGAGTAGAGTGAAATTGTTTTGACTTGATGAGTACCTTTTAGAAATCCACAGTAAGCTTCTAAGCTCACAGGGAAAGATTAGAAGTGTTCCCAGTGATGTCTGACACAAGACAAAGATGTCCACTATCATCTCTACTCTTTTGTTTTCTTCTTAAATCCTTAAGAGATTATGTATTGAATAGGAAAAAAAAACAAAAACAAAAAAAGACCCTGGTACTATGCATAACATATTTAACTAAGAAACACAAGAATATCAACTGAAAAATTATTAAAATAAGATTAAAAAAAATTGACTAAATACAAGGCCACCCCAAATTAAGTTTCCCTATATATCAGCAATAAACAGTCAGAAAAATGTAAAGAATAAAGATCTTATATAGACGATCCACAACCCAAAATGCCTAGTAATAACCCTAACAGAATTGTGTCACCGGTGGAGGGTGTCCAGGTTCTTGGCATTTTGAACAAAGAACTGGACAAAACGCACAAACAAAGCAAGGAAAGAATGAAGCAACAAAAGCAGAGGTTATTTGGAAATGAAAGTACACTCCGGCCGGGCGCGGTGGCTCACGCCTGTAATCCCAGCACTTTGGGAGGCCGAGGCGGGCGGATCACAAGGTCAGGAGATCGAGACCATGGTGAAACTCCGTCTCTACTAAAAAATAGAAAAAAATTAGCCGGGCGCAGTGGCGGGCGCCTGTAGTCCCAGCTACTCGGGAGGCTGAGGCAGGAGAATGGCGTGAACCCGGGAGGCGGAGCTTGCAGTGAGCCGAGATTGCGCCACTGCACTCCAGCCTGGGCGACAGAGCGAGACTCCGTCTCAAAAAAAAAAAAAATTAAAAAAAAAAAAAAAAAAAAAAAAAAGAAAGTACACTCCACAGGGTGGGAGCTGGCTGAGCAGCAGGCTCAAAGACCCTAGATACAGAATCTGCTCCTGTCCAAATACCTCCTAGAGGTTTCCCATTGGTCACTTGGTGTTCACCTCATGTAAATGAAATGGTGGCCTGCAATCAGTCTGATTGGTTGTGAAAAGCAACCA